CTTTTGACGCTGAGGGTCGGGCCATTGACTTTGAGGTCTGGGTAGATGACCTACAGCTTTTCCTACAGTGCGATAGGGCAGACGGTCTCTCCCTCTTTGACCTCACCTCTGGCGCCTCTCCTGCCCCTGCTGCTAATGCTGACGCCACTGTTCGCTCCCAGTGGGCCACGCGCGATGCTGCTGCACGTCTTGCTGTGCGTCGCCACCTGCCTACCACTGAGCGCGCCCACTTTAGTCAGTACAAGAGTGCTCAGACCTTGTACGACGCTGTAGTTGCACGCTACTCTTCCCCTGCCACTGCTGCACTGAGCCGCCTCATGCTACCGTACCTCTTCCCTGACCTTGCTGCCTTTCCCACAGTCGCTGACCTCATTACGCACCTCCGCACTAGTGACACTCGCTACCGCGCCGCGCTTCCTGCTGAGTTCTGCGCCAAGAACCCCCCCCCTATGTACATCACTCTCTATTATATAGTCACCCGCCTCCCTGACTCCCTTCGTGTAGTCAGGGACGACTTCCTCTCAGTCTGTCCCACCACTCTCACTGTTGACCTCCTAGAGAAGGCCCTCCTAGCAGCGGAGAAGAGCATAGTCGCTGTAGGAGCCTCTCGTGGTGACCCTCGCACCCCCATCGTTGAGGGGTGTTCTCCTTCCCCCCTTTTGCCCTTTGTCGCCTCTGCCGTTGCGGCCGACCTCGTTGGTCTTGAGTCGGTCGGTGCGGCGTCTGCCCCTAGCAGGAGACGCCGCTCTGGCAAGGGCAAGGGGGGCAAGGGCGCGGGTGGAGCTAGCGGGGGTGGTGGAGGTGGCGGTGGAGGCGGCGGAGGGAGTGGGTGTGGCGGTGGGAGTGGTGGCGGGGGTGGTGGTGTCGGTGGCGGCAGCGCAGGCGGAGGCGGCGGAGGCGGTGGTGGTGGGAGCGGAGGCGGCAGTGGTGGCGGAGGTGGAGGAGGTGGTCGTGGAGGCGGTGGAGCTGGTCGGGGTGGCGCTTCGCAGCGGAGCGGCTCCGGTGGTGGTCAGCGCCAGCAGCAGCAGCAGCAACACCGCTCTCGGGACATCCCCCCCCCTCAGCAGCTCCGTGAGTGGTACACGCAGCGTCAGCGTGGTGGGGGTTTTGGTCCGTGCAACTACGTCCTTTGCACCAGCGACCGCGCGGGTGAGCAGTGTGGGGGTGCCCACCCCACCCAGCGCTGCTTTGGCTGCCTGACGGACGCTTGGCGTCAGCAGTTTCCGGAGGCTAGTGAGATCACCCGCTGGGGAGAGCTGTGGAGGGCAGGCGTAGCTATCTATGATCTTGATTTTGATGCTATCCTTGCTGCCATGTATGCTGTGACTGTTAGTGATGAGGGTGACTGTTACTGGTGTTTCCCGCCCGACCCGGGCATTGGTACGGCTGCGCTAGGTGCTAGTGAGGCTGCTTCTCTAGGTGCCAGTGCGTCTGCGCCCTCAGGTTCTGGTGAGTCTGCGCTCTCAGGTACCACGTCGGCTTCGGCCTCCCTCACCTTCACACTTGACTCAGGGGCTTCTCGCTCCTTCTTTCGAGACCGCACCACACTCACGCCGTTTGGTCGGCCAGTTGCTGTCTCCCTGGCAGACCCCTCTGGGGGTCCTGTCCTCTCTCACTTCTCCACTGTCCTCTCGTGTCCGGCTGCCCCCTCTGGCACCTTGTCTGGTCTTTACCTCCCCTCGTTCTCTACGAACTTGGTGAGTGGTGCTGACCTACAGGATGCAGGGGTTCACCAGTTTACTCCTGCGAGTCAGCGGGTGACCCACTGCTCGGACGCTCGCACAGGCCGGCACCTGGCCACGTGTACGCGTCGGCCGGGGTCAAGCCTCTACACCATGACCACTGGGTCTCCTCCTGTCCCTGCGTCTGGCCAGGTAGCTGCGTCGGGTCAGGTGTTTGCTGCAGCGTCCAGGTCTGGTCCTGAGTCTGCCCCCTGCTCGTGTCGCCTCCTGTCTCACGAGACTCTCCTGTGGCACCGCCGTCTTGGTCACCCCTCCCTGCCTCGTCTCCGAGGCATGGCTTCCCGTGTCCTTGTCTCTGGACTTCCCCGGTCCCTCCCTCCCCTTCCTCAAGGGCCTGGTCCGTCCTACGTCCCCTGTGTCGAGGGGCGCCTACGGGCTGCCCCTCACTCCTCTCAGTTTCCCCCGACAGAGGCCCCGCTGCAGACGCTTCACATGGACGTGTGGGGCCCAGCCCGCGTCCGTGGACAGGGTCACGAGCGCTACTTCCTGCTGGTGGTTGACGACTACTCGCGTTACACCACAGTCTTCCCCTTGCGCAGCAAGGGTGATGTCACTGAGGTGTTGATCGACTGGATCCGCGCAGCTCATCTCCAGCCCAGGAGGAGCTTCGGCTCGGACTTTCCTGTTCTACGTCTGCACTCTGACCGCGGCGGTGAGTTCTCCTCTGGCCCTCTGCGAGCCTACTGCCGTGCGAGAGGCATCCGCCAGACCTTTACGCTTCCGGACTCTCCACAGCAAAATGGGATTGCTGAGCGCCGCATTGGGATGGTCATGGACGTCGCTCGTACGTCCATGATGCATGCGGCTACCCCCCATTTTCTGTGGCCGTTAGCGGTTCGTTATGCGGCGCATCAGATCAACCTTCACCCTAGGGTCTCCATGCCGGACACCTCCCCAGCCTTGCTGTGGACGGGGAAGGTCGGCGATGCGTCAGCGTTCCGTGTCTGGGGATCTCGGGCGTTTGTCCGCGACTTGTCTGCGGACAAGCTGTCCCCTCGTGCTGCTCCCTGTGTCTTCCTTGGCTTCCCCCCTGACGCCCCAGGGTGGCAGTTCTACCACCCCACCTCTCGTCGTGTTCTGTCCTCCCAGGACGTCACGTTCGACAAGTCAGTCCCCTACTACCACCTCTTCGTAGAAACAGCGATGGGTCAGCAGTCCAAGGAGCAAACCCAAGAGCCGCAAGTGTCGTCCTTAGTGTGTCTAGCCACTCACGGGGTGCTTGACGCAGGCCGCACACTGGTCGTCGTAGGCTCGACTTGGTACCCGCAGGAAACGACCCAGTGAAGCCCTGTGGACGGCGCAACCAGATGGCCTCGTAAAGGCTACCCTGCAAGAAAGCTGTCGAGAAGTCAAGGGAGTGCAGCTCGTAGTCACGCTGAGCTGCAACGTGTAGCAACACCCGAAGAGTGGTCATCTTCGGGGTGGGGGAGAAGGTCTCAAAGAAGCCGACCCCCTTACGCTGAGTGAAGCCTCGAGCAACGTAACGTGCCTTGAAGGCAGGCGGAGAACCAGACGGCCGCTTCACCCTGAAAATCCACATGTCATTGACGATGTTCGCCCCAGGTGGGGGAACCTCGTCGACGTACGTGCCTGTGGACTTCCAGGAAGCCATCTCTGCGTCCATGGCTGTCTGCCATGGAGAGGAGTACTCACCCAAAATCGCCTCCCTGTAGGAGCGCGAGGTGGGGATGTCAAGTGCATCCGGGTCTTCCTCAGGGGCAAGTAGCATGGTCGCGTGATGGGGTGAAGCGGTAGCAAGGCACTCCATCTCCTCCTGTCTGTCCTCAAAAACGTCATAGCCAAGGGCAGTGCAGCCAAGAGCAGTCTCACCCCCGACGGACGGAGGACAGGCAGGGACAGGGTCAGAGACAAGACTCGCAAGGTAGTCGAGGCGGTACACAGCAGCAAAGTCAACGAGTTGAGCTACTAGGGCAGACGCAGCAAGAGACGAGAACGTAGGGTCCGTCACAACCGTAGCAAGAAGGCGAGTAACAGTCGGACTGGACGCACGAGCAAGGTCAGACGGAGGGTCAGCAATGTCAGGCAAAGAGGACGCAGGAGGTAACGGCAGGACAACACGCTGAGGAACAGAGGAAGGACGGAGTGTCATATCGTGAGTGCCGGGGACAGCCGGAGCAAACTGACGACGAACACAAGGAACACGAGCACGGACAGCAGCTCTAGGATCAGGCTCAAGGTCAAAGCTAGACTCAAGCTCTCGACGCTCAGGGGTGGAAGCACGAGTCTCAGGCTCTTGACGCTCAGTCAGGGACTCTGACACCGCAGTGTAAGGAGCAGGAGCAGGCAGTGGGGAGTGTGGTAGCAGCGGCGGCTGTGACTGGTCCACCGGTGGACACAGCAACGGAGGAGTAGTACCTGCCACAGGGAAACCAGTAGCACCTGGCTGAAGACTGAGAAGGTGGCGAAGAGCACTAGTAGCTCCACCAAGACCTCCAGCACCTCCAGCACCTCCAGCCCCAGCAGCTCCAGCTCCTCCAACACCAGCAGCTCCAGCAGCTCCACGACCTCCTGCACCAGCAGTACCTCCAGTACCTCCAGCACCAGCAGCTCCACGACCTCCAGCACCAGCAGCACCTCCAGTACCTCCAGCACCAGCAGCTCCACCAGGACCAGCAGCACCTGCAGCTCCCCGACCTCCAGCACCAGCAGCACCTTGAGTACCTCCAGCACCTCCAGGACCTCCAGCACCAGCAGCACCTCCAGGATCTCCAGCACCAGCAGTACCTCCAGTACCTTCAGCACCAGTAGCTCCAGTTCCTACGGTAGGAGCTCCGATGACACCAACACCAGAAGGACTCGCAGCACCCCCAGAGTCGGCACCTGAACTCAGAGCACCCCCAGAGGCAGGACCCTCTGTCTCAGCACTTGCAGGCTCAGTACCCTCAGTCGCAGCACCCCCGGGCTCAGTACCCTAAGTCTCTGCTCCAGTATCCACAACAGCAGGCTGCAGAGGCGGCGAAGACGGCAGAGGTGGGAACCCGGGGGGTGTAGCCAGACGAGGAGAGCGGGCACCCCCAGACTCACCACCCCCAGCCCCAGCTCCAGTAGTCATAGCTCCAGAGTCCACAGCAGCAGGCTGCGGCGGCGGCGAAGACGGCCGTGGCGGGAAACCCGGGGGGGTCTCCAAGCGAGGAGTGCGGCGAGTGGTCGCCGTGTCGTCGGCGACGGCGTCACCCCCCTCAGGTGAGTCAGAGGAGTCAGAAGAGATCTCAACTGGCTCATCCAAAGGGGGTGGGTCTACCTGGGACACACCTGAGGGAGCAGGACCCTGTGGGGGAAGGGGGTCTACCTGGGGGGGGACTGGTACCAGGAAGAGAGGTGCGAGAGGGACCGGGTGGAACGCGTGCGGGTAAAGTCGGTAGTAACAGACCGACTCGTCAAAGGTGACATCCTGAGAGGACAGAACATGACGCGAGGCAGGGTGGTAGAACTGCCAGGGTGCCAGAGGGGGCTGCCGGGCACGGTAAGACAGTGGAGAAGCTAGCAAGGACAGGACCCCCAGAGGGGTCCGCCAGGGAGACTGCAACCGGCCAACTGAGCGGCGTAAGAGTGGTGCGGTCTCGAAAGAAGGAGCGGGAAGCACCCGAGTCAAGGGTGAAGGTGTGTAAGGCCTGAGCCGACGTAGTACCTGAGAGAGCAGACTCACCAGCACCTGGGGCAGCAGACGCACTAGCACCAGGGGCAGCAGACGCACTAGCACCTAGAGCAGCAGCCTCACCAGCACCTAGAGCAGTGGCCTCAATGCCCGGGTCAGGCGATACACACAGGTAACAGTCACCCTCAACACTAGTAGTCACAAATACATGGCAACAAGGATAGCATCATAGTCAAGATCAAAGATGGCAACCCCCGCTCTAGACGGATCTCCCCAGCGAGGGATCTCTGACGCCTCAGGGAACTGGCGACGCCACGCGTCCGTCAGGCGACCGAAGCAGCGCTGGGTGGAGTGCGGGCCCCCGCACTGCTCACCAGCTCGGTCGCCGGTACGGAGGACGTAAGTGCAGGGACCAGTACCCCCACCGCGCTGACGCGCAGCGTACCACTCACGAAGCTGCTGAGGGGACAGGGTCACACCACTCTGCTACTACTGGCGCGGACCACCACCTGAGCCACTCCTCTGCGCAGAGTCGCGACCCGCTCCACCACCGCCGCCGCCGCCGCCGCCGCCGCCTCCGCCGCCTCCTCCACCTCTGCCTCCTCCGCCACCTCCGCCGCCTCCGCTCCCTCCGCCACCACTGCCGCCTCCTCCGCCTCCACTGCTGCCACCGCCGCCGCCACCCCCGCCACCACTCCCACCACCACCCCCACCCCCTCCACTGCCTCCACCACCACCTCCACCGCCCCCGCTAGCCCCTCCAGCGCCCTTGCCCCCCTTGCCCTTGCCGGTGCGGCGTCTCCCGCTAGGGGGAGACGCAGCGCCGACCGACTCGAAACCAACGAGGTCGGCCGCAGCAGCAAAAGCAACAGAGGGCAAGAGGGGGGAGGGAGAACACCCCTCATAGACGGGGGTGCGAGGGTCACCACGAGAGGCTCCTACAGGGACTATGCTCGTCTCTGCTGCTAGGAGGCCCTTCTCGAGGAGGTCAACGGTGAGAGTGGTGGGGCAAACAGAGAGGAAGTGGTCCCTGACTACGCGAAGATAGTCAGGGAGCCGGGTGACTATGTAGTAGAGGGTGATGTACATGTGGGGGGGGGTTCTTGGAGCAGAACTGAGCAGGAAGTGCAGCGCGGTAGCGAGTGTCACTAGTGCGGAGGTGCGTAATGAGGTCAGCGACTGTGGGAAAGGCAGCAAGGTCAGGGAAGAGGTACGGTAGCATGAGGCGGCTCAGTGCAGCAGTGGCAGGGGAAGAGTAGCGTGCAACTACAGCATCGTACAAGGTCTGAGCACTCTTGTACTAGCTAAAGTGTGCACGCTTAGTGGTCGGTAAGTGGCGACGCACAGCAAGGCAAGCAGCACCATCGCGTGTGACCCACTGTGAGCGAGCAGTGCTGTCAGCAGTAGCAGGCGGGGCAGGAGAGACACCAGAGGTGAGATCGAACAGAGAGGGTCCGTCTGCCCTATCGCACTGGAGAAACAGCTGGAGGTCATCGACCCAGACCTCAAAGTCAACGGCACGGCCCTCAGCATCAAAAGTAAGGACACTGGGGGTAGCCATGACTGCAGTGGCCTAGTAGGGAGTGAGCTCACCAGTCTGAGGAAGGAGGGCTGGGGCGCACTAGTAGGAACAGCAGCGGCTCGACAGTAGGGCGGCTCGGCGGCAGGGCGGCTCGGCGGCAGGGCGGCTCGGCTGCTGGGCGGCTCTGCTGCTGGGCGGCTCGGCGGCTCGGGGGCTTGGCTGCTCGGCGGCTCGGCTGCTTGGCAGGTGGGCGGCTCGGCTGCTGGGCGGCGCGGCTACTGGGCGGTGCGGCTGCTGGGCTGGTGGGCGGCTCGGCTGCTGGGCTGCTCGGCGGCGCGGTGGCGGGGCCGCAGGTGGCGGCGACGGGGCCGCAGGTGGCGGCGACGGGGCCGCAGGTGGCGGTGACAGGGCCGCAGGTGGCGGCGACGGGGCCGCAGGTAGCGGCGGGGCCATAGGTGGCGGCTGCGTGGCCGCAGTTGGCGGCGACGGGGCCACAGGTGGCGGCGACGGGGCCGCAGGTGGCGGCGACGGGGCCGCAGGTGGCGGCGACGGGGTCGCAGAGGGGCCGCAGAGGGGCCGCAAGGGGCCTAGACGGGGCCGCAGAGGGGCCGCAAGGGGCCTAGACGGGGCCGAAGAGGGGCCGCAAGGGGCCTAAACGGGGCGGCGACGGGGCCGTAAGGGGCCGGAAAGGGCGCCGCGAGAGGCCGAAAGGGGGCTGCGCGAGGGCCGTAAGGGCGGCGCGAGGGGCCGTAAGGGGCCGTAAAGGCAGCGCGAGGGGCCGTAAGGGGCCGTAAGGGCGGCGCAAGGGGCCGTAGAGGGCGGCGCTAGGGGCCGTAAGGGCGGCGTAAGGGGCCGTGAGAGGGGCCTCTACAGGCGGCGCGAAGGTAGGGAGGGCACACAGAGTGCGACTCGGGCAGGAGTGAAGCGCGCTTCGGGCAGGAAAAAAAAAATCGTAGTGGGCCCTAGGTAGCATTCCCACTTGAGAACCTGCTCGATACCATGATAAGAAACGAGGAATCAATGCATTGAGCAGAATGAGGAGTACAAGTAGTAGACCCTTAAGTGTTGTACCCCATATGAACTGCCCCACTACAGCCTACACAGACTATAGCATATATGTCTGACTCAATTCAATCGGCAGCAGCAGAAACAACATCGGTAGCAGCAGAGACAATATCGGCAGCAGCAAAGACAACATTGGCAGCAGCAGAGACAACATCGGCAGCAGCAGAGACAACATCGGCAGCAGCAGAGACAACATCGGCAGCAGCAGAGACAACATCGGCAGCAGCAGAGACAGCATCGGCACCAATCGCGGGTCCTTCAAATGCACCAGCCCCAATCAACAACGACACTCCACCGACCTGTGGAGCAACTGAATCCAACACCACGAGAAGTATATCGAAGCGCAAAGTTCACCGCAAGCTTCTACTCCAACTCCGACATATACCGTCGCTCACCCGGACATTGAGCTGTCGAAGATATCTAGCACGCACGAATGGGACATCCAAGGAACATTATGTAAAATAACACAATCAAAGAAGGCGTGCTCGACAAAGACTCATTACTTCTAACCGACGGAAGCGAACTTTGACGAGCTCGCGGAACGTGCTTTACCTGCCCCGAAGCCGACTTACCACATCGGCCGTTCGTTTCTCACCACAAACCGAGCGCACCAGCTTACGCACCACTCGAGAAAGTCTACAGCGACATCCTGTACAATCACGAACCTGGACAAGGAGCATACAGCTACACCATCATGTTCATCGATGCCGCCACACGCTACGTTTGGCACCTCAATCTTCCGAGCAAAGACATGGCTTTCGAGGCTTTCGTCGCCTGGCTCCCAGTAGCAGAACGAGAATCAGGCGTAAAGCTAAAGAGCTTCTAGTCAGACGGAGGAGGAGAATACACCTCATAAAGGTTCAAGCAGCACTTGGCAGAGAGGGGAATCAAGCGGCTCATCTCCCTTCCCTACGCCCACCAACAGCAAGGCGTAGCAGAAAGGATGAACTGGACTCTCCAGAACACCATGCGCAAGCTGCTACGTAGCATGCGGCTACCCAACAACCAATGGCCCGAAGCAATGGACCACGCTGTCATGCTGCACAACTTGCTCTCGTCATCATCGCTCCCGAACAACGCATCACCGCACATGCTGTGGACAGGAAAACAGGGCAGCACAAAAATGTTAAGAGTTTTTGGCTGCATGGTACAGTACCGACCCCCAGCTGCACAAGTCGGCCGATTCTCCCAACGCGCACAGTGGGGACTGTCAGAACATATAGCTTACTTGTTTCTGTAGGCTATAGTGGGGTATCCCATAAGGGGTACAACCCAATCAGGGTTTCCTATTTGTACTCACTTCGTTCATAGTCATTTCATTCTCGTTCACTTCTTCTCATGGTATCGAGCAGGTTCCCCTGTGGGAACTGTTCGTAGGGCCCACCACCGCTACCGCTTAACTTTTTTTCTGCCCGGAGCGCGCTCCGGGCCCTCGTACTTCCTTTTTTTTTCGATCTGCCCTAGTGCTCTGACGGCCGCCCACTCTAGCGCCCGAACGCCGCCCGCCCTAGCGCCCTGACGGCCGCCCGCCCTAGCGCCCTGACGGCCGCCCGCCCTAGCGCCCGAGCGCCGCCCGCCCTAGCGCCCTGACGGCCGCCCGCCCTAGCGCCCTGACGGCCGCCCGCCCTAGCGCCCGAGCGCCGCCCGCCCTAGCGCCCGAGCGCCGCCCGCCCTAGCGCCCGAGCGCCGCCCGCCCTAGCGCCCGAGCGCCGCCCGCCCTAGCGCCCTGACGGCCGCCCGCCCTAGCGCCAGTGCGCCGCTCGCCCTAGCGCCCTGACGGCCGCCCGCCCTAGCGCCCGTGCGCCACTCGCCCTAGCGCCCTGACGGCCGCCCGCCCTAGAGCCCTGTCGGCCGCCCGCCCTAGCACCCGAGCGCCGCCCGCCCTAGCGCCCTGACGGCCGCCCGCCCTAGCGCCCGTGCGCCACTCGCCCTAGCGCCCTGACGGCCGCCCGCCCTAGAGCCCTGTCGGCCGCCCGCCCTAGCGCCCGAGCGCCGCCCGCCCTAGCGCCCTGACGGCCGCCCGCCCTAGCGCCAGTGCGCCGCTCGCCCTAGCGCCCTGACGGCCGCCCGACCTAGCGCCCGAGCGCAGCCCGCCCTAGCGCCCTGACGGCCGCCCGCCCTAGCGCCCGTGCGCCGCTCGCCCTAGCGCCCGAGCGCCGCCCGCCCTTTCGCCCTTACGGCCGCCCGCCCTGACGCCTGAGCGCCGCCCGTCGTCGCCCCAGCGCTCTAGCGCCCGTCGCAGCCGCCCGTGAGCTGCCTGTACGCCGCCCGCTGAGCCTCCCGTGCACCCGCCGTCCCTGAGCCGCCCGCGCCGCCGTCCCTGAGCCGCCTGTGCAGCCGCCCGCGAGCCGCCAGCGAGCCGCCCGTCGCGACGCCCGCGCCGCACGAGCCGCCCGTACAGCCGAGCCGCCCGAGCCGCCCGAGCCGCCCGCGCCGCCCCAGCAACCCGAGCCGCCCGAGCCGCCCGAGCCGCCCGAGCCGCCCGAGCCGCCCGAGCCGCCCGAGCCGCCCGCGCCGCCCCAGCAACCCGAGCCGCCCGGGCAACCTCAGGAGCCGAGCTCCTGCTCCTGCGTGGCTGCTGCTGCTCCGAGGCGTGCGCAGCTGCTGTTCTGCCGAGTTGCTGAGCCGCTGCGCTACCCGACTCTTCGTGCCCGGTGAGACAATCAGCTGCTGCAATGGCCACCCCCAGTGTCCTGTCTTTTGACGCTGAGGGTCGCGCCATTGACTTTCCAGTCTGGATTGAGGACCTGCAGCTGTACTTACTGTGCGATGCGATCGATGAGGTTTCTCTCTTTGACTTTGTCTCTGGAGCTGTCCCTGCCCCTCCTGCTGATGCTGACCCTGCTGTTCGCTCCAAGTGGGCCACACGCGATGCTGCTGCACGTCTGGCTGTGCGTCGCCACCTCCCTTCCTCCGAGCGTGCCCACTTTAGTCAGTGCAAGACCGCTCAGGCCTTGTACGACGCTGTAGTTACACGCTACTCCTCCCCTTCCTCCGCTACGCTGAGCCGCCTCATGCTACCGTTTCTCTTCCCTGACCTCGCTGCCTTTCCCACTGTCGCTGACCTCGTTACCCACCTCCGCGCTAGTGACGCTCGCTACCGCGCTGCCCTTCCTGCTGAGTTCCGCGCCGCAAACCCTCCTCCCATGTACATCACTCTCTACTTTCTCGTCACCCGTCTCCCTGAGTCCCTTCGTGTCGTTAGGGACCAGTTTCTCTCTGTCTGTCCCACCACCCTCACTGTCGACCTCCTTGAGGAGTCCCTGCTAGCGGCTGAGAAGAGCATCGTCGCTGTAGGGGCCTCTCGGGGTGACCCTCGCACCCCCATCTTTGAGGGGTGTTCTCCTTCCCCCCTGCTGCCCTCTGTCGCCTCTGCCGCTGCGGCCGACCTCGCTGGTTTTGAGTCGGTCGGTGCGGCGTCTGCCCCCAGCGGTAGACGCCGCTCTGGCAAGGGCAAGGGGGGAAAGGGAGCGGGTGGAGCTAGAGGGGGCAGTGGAGGCGGAGGAGGTGGGGGTGGCGGAGGGAGTGGGGGTGGCGGTGGAGGTGGTGGCGGGAGTGGAGGTACTGGTGGAGGCGGTGGAGGCGGAGGTGGCGGCGGAGGCGGTGGCGGAGGAGGCGGGGGCGAGGGTACCGGTGGGGGCGGTGGCGGTGGAGACGGGGGTGGCGGTGGAGGCGGGAGTGGCGGTGGCGGCGGGGGTCGGAGTGGCTCGTCCCAGCGGAGCAGCTCTGGGGGTGGCCAGCGCCAGCAGCAGCAGCAGCAGCAGCAGCGCTCTCGCACCGTCCCCGCCCCTCAGCAGCTCCGTGAGTGGTACTTGCAGCGTCAGCGTGGTGGTGCGTTTGGTCCCTGCCCCTACGTTCTTCGCACCGGTGACCGTGCGGGGGAGAGGTGTGGAGGCACCCACGCAGCACGCCGCTGCTTTGGCCGCCTGACCGACGCCTGGCGTCAGCAGTTTCCGGAGGCCGCGGAGATTCCCCGCTGGGGGGAGCTGTCTAGGGCTGGTGTAGCCATTTATGATCTTGACTTTGATGCTATTCTTTCTGCTATGTATGTTGTGACTGGTAGTGATGAGGATGACTGTTACCGGTGTTTCCCGCCCGACCCGGGCATTGGTACTGCTGCGTTAGGTGCTAGTGAGGCTGCTGCTCTAGGTGCCAGTGCGTCTGTGCTCTATGGTACTGGTGAGTTTGCCCTCTCAGGTACTGTGTCGGCTTCGGCCTCTCACACCTTCACCCTTGACTCTGGAGCGTCTCGCTCCTTCTTTCGGGACCGCACCACTCTCACGCCGCTGAGTCGGCCGGTTGCGGTGTCCCTGGCTGACCCCTCTGGGGGGCCTGTCCTGTCTCGCTTCTCCACGGTCCTTCCGTGTCCTGCGGCCCCCTCTGGCACCCTGTCTGGTCTCTACCTCCCCTCGTTCTCGACGAACCTGGTGAGTGGTGCTGACCTACAGGATGCGGGTGTCCACCAGTTCACTCCTGCTCGTCAGCGAGTGACCCACTGCACGGAGGCTAGCACGGGACGCCACCTGGCTACGTTTACACGTCGGCCAGGGTCGAGCCTGTACACACTGACCACTGCTTCTCCTCCAGGTGCTGAGTCTGGTAGGGTCCCTTCGTCTGGTCAGGTGTTTGCCGCAGCGTCCAGGTCTGGTCCTGAGTCTGCCCCCTGTTCGTGTCGTCGTCTGTCTCACGAGACCCTCCTCTGGCACCACCGCCTTAGCCACCCCTCTCTGCTTCGGCTCAGAGGCATGGCCTCCCGTCTTCTTGTGTCTGGTCTCCCCCGGTCTCTACCTCCCCTTCCTCAGGGCCCTGGCCCTGCCTGTGTCCCTTGTGTCCAGGGGCGCCAGCGTGCTGCCCCTCACTCCTCCCAGTTTCCTCCGACAGAGGCCCCGTTGCAGACGCTTCACATGGACGTGTGGGGCCCAGCCCGCGTCCGTGGACAGGGTCAGGAGCGCTACTTCCTGCTCGTTGTTGACGACTACTCGCGTTACACCACGGTCTTCCCCTTGCGTAG